GAAACAGTTTCTATAATAGAAACAGTACTTGGATTCAGTACTTGGATTCATACAATCAAACCTAACATACAGATCTAGGGTTTCCCATACCCAGATGAATGGGAGAACTACTCCATGGAGAAAGAAGCAAAAGCTGAATCAGATGCGGAAACCATACTGTGAAGGATGGATTTCAGCTCCTGGACGTTGATCGTCACTCCTCCAAGCTCAAGCCAAGCTCCAATGGTGATGAAGATCAAGCTAGGGCACTTGGAGACTCTTGTTCGTCGCTTTCTCTCTCTAGGAATCGCTCTGTCTCTCTAAAACTCGAATCCCCCTCTCTTTTGGCTGAAATCTGCCTAAAAGGGCATCACTGGCCAGAACATGGTCGAGGGCACGGCCGTGTTCTGCTCCAGCCCGCCCGTGCCCTCTGCCACGTGGTAAATACACGGCCACGGTCTGGGGAAAACACGGGCGTGTTTTGAAGTAGGACACGGCCGTGTTTTGAATTGACCCCGCCCGTGTTTTCCTCTTTTCTTCATTCAACTCTCGGCAGTAAAAGCACTAGCGGCCCTTTGGTGTACACGGCCGTGTTCTTCAAACACACGCCTAACTTTTAAGCACTATCTCCAACTCTCACATTACAGATCGAGCATACTCTTCTCTGTGTAGGGCTTCCAGTCTGCTTTGTTAGAATGGTTATGGAGTGTGTCACAACCACGAAAATGCAGGTCTTATGGAATGGAGGGAAAACATAAATCTTCAAGCCTTCCAGAGGACTTCGCCGGGGATGTCCTCTATCCCCTTATCTTTTTATCTTATGTGTAGAAAGACTCAGCCATTGCATTTTTCATGAGATGAACAACAAAAACGAAAATGTAGTTCTCTTTGCTGAGGCTTCTTGTTCGCACGCTGAGATTGTTTTGAGATGCTTGGATTCTTTCTGTCTTAGGCCAGGGGAGCTTATCACTAAGGAGAAATCTAGGGTCTTCTTTTCCAAGAATGTTAAATATTATGAAAGGTGGAATATTTGTGGATCCTTGGAAATCCAGTCTACCCCTTACCTTGGTAAATACCTTGGGGTTCTTGTTATTCATGGCAGATTATCCAAAAACACATATAAGTCAGAAACTCTACAAATAGTACTGGCGGATAGAAATAGGCTGGTTGTCGGTTAGTTTCGGTTATAACTGGTAACCGATTGGTCGGTTATCGATTAACCGAACTGCCGACCCCCCTTACCGACAACTGACCGAAATAGGTATTTAGCCTTCGGTTATCTCGATTTTTGGTTAACCGAACCACCTCCAAGACCAAAACCATCTCGATTAGCCTCCAAACACCGACTGAATTTCGGTTGTCTCAGTTTTCGATGAGTGAATAACTGGCCGATTATCGATTTAACCGACCGGTTAACCGGTAACCGAAACTCCACCCCTAGATAGAAATAGAATGGATCGCCAGACCCAACCTATAGCTCAATCTAAGAGAAGCTCTAGTCCAATAACATTGACTCAGGATCTAAAACTTATAGCCCAAGAAGAGGAACTTCCATCTGGGCCGTAGCACCAATTCACTTGCTAGCCTTACAATTTGGGCCTTGATTCACTAAAAAAATAGACTTGGGCCTTGATCAAGCGCTTCTATCTCCCCTGTTGGCTTCGTGGACTGGGCCCGCTTATGATGGATTTCGATCCCTCGAGCTCGAGGGATTAGGGATGGCAATGGGTTGGGTTGGGGCGGGTTTTGTCAAACCCAAACCCAAACCCATGGGTTTCTCCGCCAAAACAATCCGGGGTAAAACTCGCTGGGTTTGAAAAACTCAAACCCAACCCAACCCGTTGGGTATCCGCGGGTTCGTGGGTACCCGTGGGTTTTTGTGGTAAAAAATTTACAATAACAAGTTTCTTTTAAAATAAAAGTTTAACATTAATGTTCTCATACAAATTATTCATACAAAAAATACCAATCTAGAGCATACAAGCAAACCGCAAATGATCAATACAAATTGTTCAAAATTAAAAATAAACATCTATAAACAATAAGATTAATTGAAAGCTTCTTACTCGTCAACTAAGTTTCTTCACTCTCAACTTCATAATATCAACTTCATTCTAAACAATTAGAAACAACAAATTATATATGTCTCCACAAACATAAAGAATATTAATTGTTTAAGGAAGATATATTATTTAGAATATTAAATATACCTGAAAAGTATTTATATGTGTGTGGGCGGGTACCCATAGGGCGGGTTTATCTAAACCCAAACCCAACCCGAACCGGTGAATAGTGTAGCGGTGTTCGCTCAGGATCTAAAATTGCTGTCACGGCTATCTTCGAGTTTTCTGACTTCAACTGGAAGAACAGGTCAGGGCAGTAAGCTACGAGTCCGACTAACAATTCGCGCTCTGAGAATACAGATTTTGCCCACCCTTTTCAGAGCGGGAGCGTGAGGCTATCGCCGGCGATTTCCCCGCCGCCGCAGAATCATCGACGCCGTGAATCAGAATGATGAAAAGTGCGGACAAGAAAAGGAAGAAGGAGAGTAAGAAGTGCGAGTTTGAATTCTGCAAAGTATGCAATCTCAATCACGACCACGGCAACCGCCACAAGTACTTCCCCAACCACACCAAATCGCTCTCCACTTTCCTCCATCGGTTCCAGACCAAGCTCTCCGACATTCGCTTCTTCCTCAGAAACCCTACCATTCTCCGTCCCGAGCTCGCCTCTCGCAATCGCTTCTGGTGCGTCGTCTGCGATGCTGAAGTCGACGAGATCGGTAGCTCATTCGCCTGGTAAGATTCTCCACAGATTTTATTTCCCCCGCCTTGTGTTTTTCCTTCCAACGTCTAAGCCTGACGCACGAGTGCCCAAAATCTCTATGTAATGTGCTTTCGACAGCGCTAATGCAATTAATCACCTTGCAAGTGCGGATCATGCCAAAAAATTGAAGCATTTTCTATGGAAATATGGTGGTGGGATGGATCACGCCGACAACTTTCGGTTCTCAGAAGCTGATTTAGCCAAGGTATCGTAGTCGTTTTCGGATGACATATGAAGCATATTTGAATCCTCTGTGGCAAGGGATGTCTCTGGTTTGAACAGCTTTTACTTTTCTTGTACCTGCAGTGGGAGAAGAAGTGCCATTCACTGAACGACGGATCTTCATCATGTAGTGATCGAACTAATGGGCTGCAAATCGGACCTTCAAATGATATCCAGAATGAGCTCAGCTATAAGAGCATTAATGACTTTGAAAACAATAATTTGGGTCCTCTTACTCCAAAATTTCTAAATAATGTTTTGCCTTTACAATACAATACGCATAAGTATCAGATATCACAGTCAGGACACCCAGCAACAGCCGCTGATGGTAGAATTGTTTGTGGTGCTCACATCACTGCATCTGGAAATGCTTGTTCAGCTTCAGACAGGTGGAATTCAAACAACATAACAGGTATTCGTTTCTACGCCCAGTTTAGTTGATGTCTCGTATCTGATTATACCCTTGCTTATGCCTTGTATACTTTGAACACATAGGTTGGCAAAACAGTCAGCATTGCATCCCTCACACAGATGCGGTTGGCACAAGTAATTTTGGGAATGGAGGAGTAAGTGTACTTCTTACTCCATTTGACCTTTCATTCAGGTCTTGGATGCGTTAGACCTTTTGATGGTTCTTTCAGTTGCAAGATTTTTATATTATTTCATTTTCAAGTACATGTCTCTGAAACTGTTTGAGTATTTGCAGAGATTTGTCATTCTTGTCCATGATCCAGTATCTTTATCCTTTTGTCAACATGATTCTGTATCTTGTGTTATAGTTCCAGTTCTACCATGTTGCCTGCAACTATAGGAGCATTCCGCCCAAGTTAGAATTTGTAGTTGTCGTGTCGGTATCACTCCTGTTGTGAATATACGATTGAATCGAAACCTCTTACTACTTGTCATGTTGTCACAAGCACACTTTATTGTGATTCTATTGAAATTTTTGTTAAATCTTTTTTAGGGGTCGTTTGGATTTGGGCCCGTATCCCTCCTGAATTCCTCAAACCAAATTTCCTAATCCAAACGGCCCCTTAATTTATTTATAGTTTGAATTTTTTAAATAATAATTACAATATGATGTGGATAAACTTATACTTGTTTGGAAAGCTGTATCAGGGTAAACACATGGCCATTGGAGGGAGCAATTTACACGGTAAGAATCTTGATTGAATTCAGCTGTTATATTTATCACTCTATGTATCTGTATGTTGGTTTTTCAAGTTGGTCATAATGCTGAATTCATTTGTTGCTGGAGGAGCTGCACAGGCCCAGGAGAAATTTCTGGTTCAGCATGGTCTGCGTAGTGGCTAATAATGTCTTCTTCATTTGCAGAACAGAGCTAAAATGAATTATCTTATTCATTAGCTCTATACTCAGCTTATGGTAATCTTCTCAGGTTTGGCTAGTATTGCTCAAGTCTCTGTCATGGCTCCTGGGCTGGCAGAAGGAAATGTGCACACAGGAGCACCTCCTCCTTGGCTTGAGATGACAGTGGAACATCATCCTGAGGATACCTCTGTTCCTCTGTCTAGTAAGAAAGGGAAATCCAAATTGAATCCAAAACGGGTGGGTGCAGCTTGGGCAGAAAAGAGAAAAGCCGAACTTGAGATGGAGAAGAGAGGAGAGATTGTCAACAGTGATTGTGGCCCCAACTGGTTACCAAATTTTGGTAGAGTTTGGCAGTCTGGAAGTCGCAAGGAATCTCTCAAAGAATTTGAAAGTGAAAAACCGGAGCTTCCCTAAAGTTGAAGTTGATCCTGAAATGCCGATTACACTACGACCTTACGTCAGTAAGCGAATGGTGAGATTATGCTCACTTTGGCCACTAAAGATGATCTCATTTCGGTGAAATATATAACTCATGGAAAGTTCGCCATATTTCGATCTGTCTCATGCGCTTCATTTCATGATGGTTCATTTACAAAGATGAAAGTCTGATGTTGCTTGTTTCGCTTTGTTCTCTATTGCAGCGAGAAGATACAAATGAGTGATGGAAAATGTAGTTTGCGGTGTATGATTGATGAGGAGTGTAACTGATAGTAAGTATGTAGAAATTTCTCTGCCGTACTTCCCCAAAATTTTAGTTGTTACAAGCTGTCTCTTTCATTTGACGGTTGGCAAGGGGCTGCCATTAATCTCATCAACAGAAACAAACAGGCTTGTCTATGGTGTAATCTAAATGTTGCTTACATGTACACACTTTTCAGGTTGACGTTATTCTTTCTGTGGAGGTGAATTGTGTCCGGTTGTCAATGGAGAAGACAGTCATGGGCCCGGATGGAATGTGGCAACCAAATGGAATGGAGAAGGAATGTATATCGGGCATGCCAAAGATTGAAGGTGAAATGTGGCTGTTAGGAATTTAACTCAGGAAACAGAAGTTCAATTTTGTTGTTGTAAGTAGTAAACAGCCTTGCCTTTCCACTTGCTCTCTACTGCATCTTCCTGTGCAACACTCAACTCTACCTCCTACAGCAAGATCACAAGGTCACTTCTCTGTGAAACCAGACACCGTTTCGTCTTTGAACACTAGTTTGGAACTGTTATTTTAATGAGAAAATTTGGATTGTGGCACTATTCTGTACATGCATCAAGAAGGCGCGAGGTTGGGCGTTGAGACCTTGCCTAGCTAGGTGCTCGCTTAGGCGTAGTCTAAGCAATGCCTAGGGTTTGGTAGAAAAACAAGAGCCTGCAGGTTGAATTCAGAGGTCGGGAGCTCGAGGCTTTATCCATACCACAGTCTGCAGTCTCCCTGGCATGCTTCAGCAGCTGGTATGGGGTGGGTACTCAACTTTGTGGATCCAGGTGGCATTGGATCTTGCTTATCTTCTCGGTGTCATCCTCCAGAAACAAAGTGTTGCTCCCTGAATTGAGGGAGGAGACAGGAGAGCTGTATGTACTGTATTCCCAGGCCAAAGATCAGCAGGTTGCATGGCGCTTTGCTCTCTACCTGCTGAGATTTGAAACATTCTAAAACATGCATAAATCTAGCGTAAAATTGAATCTCAGGCGATGTAAACGCCACAAGCATCACAAGATAAATGATAATGGGGTAAAATCATGTGTAATTAATTATGCCCAAATCAATATTTCTAAATTTTCATTTGTAAATCCATCAAAGCCGCCCAATCACCTAACCCATCCACAATATACGGCTTGGATGGATTTGGGTCATTTTCTTCTTCATCCTAATCTTCAATCCCAATCTACAATAACTATTTCAATTCTCTGTTTCGAGCTTCCTCGGATAGCATTCACTACCACTGCCCATATCAATATCATCATCATTTTCAAAGAATCATACAACCAGATCATCACCTCTCCTCTAACATTGTGCGTTTGCCTCTTCGTGTTTGTGGATGGTGAAGGAAGGGATGCCAAATTCAACGACAAAGGCTTGATCATCATCCCTGTTATGGGACAATATAAGTACCACATCGGCAATACAAGGAAAGAAACCCTTGTATATCAGTGTCCACCTAGCTCATCAGTACGAGGCCTTTTAGTGACTACAGCCAAAAGTAAAATTGTGCAGGCTTGCCCCCAAAGCTCATCGTAAACTAGAGCTTGCCCTAGTATCATGATGAATTACGGTGTTCTGTTTTGGCATTTTCTCTTTTTTATGATTGATTTTAGGCTCATCTATTGCTTTGCTTGAGAATCTCGCTTTTAGCCACACTTTGCTTTCTCAGATGGCGGAAACCGAATGGCAGTGTAGTTTTCAATTCTCTTCTTTTATTTTTATTTAAATGATGATGAATTGTTACATTTTTTTTTTTCTTCTGTTAAACTAGCTAGGAACGTGCGTAGTACGTACAGAATCAGCTCAGGCAGGCAGGCAGGGGGATGGGATTTGGTATTTTTTGCTCCATCGCGAAGCAATTCATTGCTTGAGAGAAGGACTACTGTTGCCCACATGCTTAATTACACTTTTGTGCCTGCCTTCAATGGTGAGTTAATTAGAACGTCTTCATATATATGTATAGGGCGAGGTGATCAGGTAGGTGTTTTGCCTTCATTAATTTCTCCAATTCGACGACCAGCCGTGGAGAGAGGAGAGAGTGAAAGAAGACCGACCGACCGACCAATAACAACAATAATAAGAATGTCGGATTGGGCACCGATACTGCTGGGAGTGCTGCTGTTCATAGTGCTGTCGCCGGGGCTGGTATTCCAGATACCAGGGAACACAAAGCACTTCGAGTTTGGGAGCTTGAGAACCAATGGGAAGGCAGTCATTGTCCACACACTCCTCTTCTTCACCGTCTTCACCATCCTCATTCTGGCCCTTCATGTCCGTATCTACATGGATTAGCTACCTAGTCTTCTTTCTTTTGTTGCTACGTTTGCTTATGTCTTGAACCCGATTTCATTTCTGTTTTGGGTTGCTATTGTTCCACTTTTAATATATTTGTACTAATAAATATCCAAGCCAATTTTTTCGATCTATAACATCCTGGCCCAAACTCGATGTTTGACCGTTATCTTTGACGGTCAAACGCGTTAACTAACTGTCAATGCACCACGTCATTGTCAAGTCAGCAACTTTAACATATGTGTGACTGCTTCGATGTATACAAGAGTTGCTCGGCGAGACGATTCTGAATGTCATTGTGACAGACAAAGAAGGCGGTCTGCTTGCTTCCTTTCTGTTGGTCTTCCCATTGCCACGTACCCACCACCTACTATGTTTATGGCACGTCAACTGCTATGTGAAGTGGAAGTTTGAGAGGCTATCGGGTGGAGTTTCAAGGAGAGAGTTGGCAGTCAAGATATGGGATATATATGTTAACAAAGTTACATGGAGTTGGACGGTAGATGGTTTTCTTCATATATGATCTTATATTTTCTTTCACACAAAAGCAAAAACATACAGATAAAAGTTACTAATGGTGCCAACTTTTAATGACTCGATTATTTTCCACTCTCTCGACTATAGTGTTTTATAAACTAAAAAATTCTCACTTAAAACTACTTAGATGCGTAATTGATTATGTGGATACTTTAGATTTTTGTGTACCACTTTTCACGTACTATTATATTATAAAGTATTATTAGTAAATAAATATAATTAGTGTGGTTATTGTGTATTTTGTGGGTTAACCGCGGTGGATAGTAGGTAACTACTAACCACAAAAGTTATTATTTTACTACCCACACCAAACTCACTACCCACAATGGGTGCAAGTTGGTGCGGTTTGTGAGTTATCCACAACCCACAACCCAAACTTCCACCCCTAACCATAGATACGAGAAGTCATGGGAAACAAAAGAAGAAGAAAAAAAGATAAATTACTTGATATGCTCTTATATTTTGTTTATGTTTGAGTTATACATTTATGATATTCATATTAAAACTAATTAATTATGTTCTTCCTTTAAGTTCAATATGCATCATGCTCATCAGAAATCATGGAACCATAAGGAGCGGTAATCACCATGGTTATTAATGGCAAATTGGGTATGAAAAAAATATATATTAATTTTATTTTTTAATAAATTAAATTTTAGGAAGTTACAATAATATATTAACTACAGTTTTCTCTCTTTGTTTCTCTCACTTCCACAATCTTCAGCCAAATATCTCTTCTTTTTTCTCAATCTTTTCTTTATTTTCGTTCAACAGACCTAACACCACTGCAACAATAAAACAATGAGTCAATACCGATCCATTAAAAAACACTACCACTGCACAAAACACCAATACCATTGCAGATTTAATCAATAGCAATACATGCAAATCAATACCATTACATAATAATCGATACCAATGCAAAAAATATACTAATACGAAAAAACACTACCACTACAGAAAAAAACTAACATTTCACAAAATAGCAATACTATTACATGATAATCAATACCAATGAGAAAAAATAATACTCATACGAAAATAAATATCAATATGAAAAAATACATACCAATTCGAAAAAATTATATTTGGAGTCCAGCTAATGGTTGTCGGCTCCTCCTCGCCGCCGCGACACCAACGGCAACTCATTGCAACACATCCTCGTCGGGTAATGAGAGAGAGAGAGAGAGAGAGAGAGAGAGAGAGAGAGAGAGAGAGAGAGAGAGAGAGAGAAGAGGCGTAAGGTGGGGTGGGGTGAGGACACATAACGTGGATGTGACCGGGCAACGACACGTAACGTGGTTGACATATCTCAATTTTTAGTTATGACCCTAGATGATGATACATAATGTGGTAACTCATGTTGTGGCTCCTCATTGTGAGGATATCAATGTTATGTAAACAAGTAAACAATGACACCATTTAAGTTGAGGTAGGGGCCCATCATAAGATAAAATATGCAAGACACTAATAAAGTAAACAAGAATACTAAGGTCAATAACTCATAACAGCATAATTTAAAGGGCTAATACCATTGGAAATACCATCCTTAGGCAAAAGTGTCATTTATATTACGTAACTTTCGATATCACAATTGTATACCATCCGTTAAGTTTTTTGTTAGTAGTTAACAGAAAACACAGTCAGCACTGACATGGCAGCTGATGTGGAAAATTTTCATAAAAAATAATTATAAAATAAAGAAAATCAAAAGAAAAGAAGGAAAATAAAAAATGTTCTTTCATCTTCCCTACCTCTCTCGATCTCTCCCCTCCGCCAAATTCCCTTCTTCCATCTCCCCCAACTTCCCCACACCTTCTGCCGCCACCACCACCATCACCAAATCCTCACTCCCAATCGTCTCGCCATTCGTCAACAAATAGAAACAAGCTCTCATTTTCCCGTGACAATGAGCTGACAAACAAGTAATATAAACACAAAAAAAAATCAGTCACTATTGGCTACAAGGGTTTCCAATCTGCCACCGCCGATCGAAGATAGGAAGAGAGGAAGAAGAAATGACGTCGTGGAGACAAAGTAAATGGCGATAGCAGAGGCGCTGTAGTCGCCGCTGTCACCAGAAAGTGGGTCGACCTTCTCCTCCTCAATGTCGTCATCGTCGTCGCTTTCCTTTGAACGACCGTCACTTCCCTTGAAACGATCGTCGCACACACTGGCCAGAGAAGAATAGAACAAATTGTTGCCGCCACCGTATCTCCTTAGACATTCAATTCACACCAACTGAAGAACAAGGAGACGAACCGCCGCCCTCCCCAAAACTGCAATCGTTCATCTTTTCCTCACCACCTTGGGGAACAGGGGATAAGGGATTCAATTTTGCTGACTCGAGAGGGATTCGATGCAGGTGGAATTGTGGCATAGCCTGCTGGTTCAGATGAGCAGTTCAGATGAGCAGGCGGCGGAGAAAGAAAGAAGAAGCAACAACCCAGATCCGAACCTTTGATGCCTCCACTGTCGTCTCTTCAGGCCAACGACGTCGTCACTTCCTTTTGCAGAATAATTATGGAACTTTGGCTGTGGTTGCAGAGGAAGGGAGGCGGAGGAAGGAGGGTCATTGTTTTCGTCGGCCGATCCGATATTGGTACTTGAGAAATTTAGTGGTTTGGGCATGAACCGATAAGGTAAATCGAGGAGTTGGGATCGTCGGAAGAACCAGAAGGCGCATGACGGCGTCGGCGGCGAGAGAGAGTGAACCCTGGCTGTAAGGGTTGCGGAGG